TGCGTGTTGTGGACTGAGATTTAACTCGACCCACTTCAATTGCCGAGTTGTATGACATTCATGTTGCAATTAAGGACTACAGTCTTATACTTTCCATTCAGTCTTGTCTCTTTACGAGAATATCTGATCTCTTACGGACAAAACCCTACCCAAACCAGCCCATGCTTACAGCTGTATCTGTATTTGCATCTTACTATTCGTGGGGAGATGTTTCTAATATACAACGATTCTTGTGGGTAGGAGATCTGAATTGTCCTTAGACACGTGTTAAATAAACAAATGATGAGACACCTGCCCTGCCCTAGACTAAATGGAAGTGTAAGAGATCTAGACCTGCAATAAATAGATAATTTATTGACATAGACCTTATGATGGATTGAAAAAAGGGCAGGATTGTCACAAACAAAGGCACATATTATGATATCGGATTTGGTGCTCACATCACACTGTTATCACAACCCCTTTCAGCCATGCATTGAGAACATCTTGCCATGAATAAAAAGATACAAGTATGAAAATGTTCCCAATGTATGGCTGAAAAGGGCTGCATGTGAGAGTTGTACTTACAACCACAGCCTATGAAAGTCCCAATCTGCTAACCAGAACACTATCCATAACCACAAGTTTACCTATAAAACAGCCGCACATGGAGAACATCTTGGTTATTGTTAAATGGGGAGATGTTTAATTATAGTGTCTTGTGGATAAGGTTTAAAGTATTAGTATTGGGTATTATATTAATAAGCTTGCATACAGGTGCATATTGTGATTCGCTTTTGAATATGTATGAACACGATGAAATGATATGGATATACTTGAATATATTGGTAAAAATCTCATAAGTAACCCCACAAATGTATCAATATATAACAATAAATAAAAACTTGAAATAACTTTGAATAAAGTATCTATACATAACAAATACAAACTTTGACGGCTTATATAAAGAAATATATTATAATCAACAATATCGGGAGTCTAGAATATATACATATCATACAATAACTTCACTAATAATACATCAAACAATATTTGAGATTCCAACCTACTAAAAGTTCACTACAAGACACGTTAAATTGTTGTTGGAGAAATAAGTTTGATAGGTTCATCTTGTAGTTTTTCCTTGGTATGAAATCCATTTAGGATATATAAAATAAATGTTTTTTTTTTTTTAATTTCAAAATTTTCCTAAACATTAAGAAAAAAAATATTTTTGGCATAAATTATTGTTAGATCAATGAGTTCAAAAGATCATTGATAGATTTTTTCCTACAATAAAAATAATTGTTAACATATAAAAAATCACTATGATTACTTTTTATAATTTTATTTGTTGGAACAACTTATAAATGTTAAATATTTATAATTTTCTTTGTTGGATGATAATTTAAATGATAAATATTTTTTATCAAAAGAAACAACATATTTTAGGTGAATTTATTTCTAAAGGAATTTAATCCTGAATCTTTCTTGAACTTAGAAAATAACAATGGTTGTTATTTGTCAAGACAATCGCTGTTAGATATCAAAATTTCAGGAAAGAACTGTAGTGCTAGAAAGCCATAATATTGGAAGAGCTTTGAACACTCAAAAACCCTGGTTAATTTTGATGAGTGCCACCTGATTGGTTTAAACCTTTTATGAAACCGGTTGATTGGGTACAAAAATTTTTGGTATCATAGTTGAACGCCAAAGTTTGCTTTTCATCATAAAAATGGTCGAGAAGGGGTTGTTGCCCTTTCAGGTTTATATCTCTTGAAACTAACAAAAAGAAGTTGTTTTCATTTTAAAAACAAAATCATATGTATTGACAAATACTTCCAAAGTGAAATTTTCTCAATTTTTTATTGTTTTGGCCACCAATTCCCATGTCAAACGGTCCAACTGCCTGATCCAACCCTAGGTCGGACGGTTTTGGGGTCCAAAACCAGACTTGGATCCATGACCAATTCTTGGGTCAACCAGTCCAACCATCCAGTTCGGTCTGATTTTCAAAACCATGTTGTAGACACAAATCTAGAGTACAGAGAATCTAAAACCAATTATAATTTTAATATATTATTTTGTTATAAATATTAATTAATTTAATTATATATACACTAATATCTAATATTTTAATTACTGAAATATTTATTAAAAATTATAATATCATGATGAGTTTGTCTTGTGCTAGTCCTAACTAAAACGTCGTTACAAGACATTGAGTTGGTGCACATTTTCTGAGACACGCACTCCCTTGTGGTCGTCCAACAAATCATTGAACTATAGAAAAGAAAAAAGGGCCTTGTAATCCACAATAGATCAATTTAGATGTAATAAACAAATAAAACACAATAAAAAGCTTACAAAATAGTTGATTATGTATTTCTTGGTTGGAAAGTTTCACCATTATTTCTCTCATATTGCCATAAATATAATGACTTTTAAATTAAGAGATCTAATATCCATGTGTTAAGTTTAAAAGAGTATTTGTTCTTTTTTTTTTTTTTGGGTTTAGAAAAATAACACTAATTTATTAAATTTTAAATAGAGAATGTTACACTGATAGATATATGTAGATGTATGACATTTCTCACAATTAGATACATGCACTCTCTCTCTCCATTAGTAGCTTTCAGAAATAGTAATGGGTTCAAAGACGTCTTGAATTTTCAAGGTTTTTAATCAATATGATTTTATTTATAAAATTATCAAGTAAGAAATATCATCATGTGCGAATAGAGGTGCCTTCTTGTGCTTCTAATCACATTTTTATACCCTCGTATTTGGCAAACAAAAGAGAAGAAATGTTATTTTAGGTTTGGCGCCCAAAAACACACGAGGCGCCAAACTTCTCTCTTCCCCTAGCCTCTCTCTTATTCTTTCCATTTCTCCCTTTATTCCAATCGAAGCATTCACTGTAATTGCGTCTCCCTTCTATTCTCCACTCCGTTTTCTTCCACGACACCAGTGCTGCAAGTCCCAAGAATGGTCAAGATTCCAAAGGTCATAGCCTGAGATTAAAAACGGTCAAGGGGGAACTAGTGCGAAAAGGAAGAGTAAGAAATAGTGACGTTACAGGTTTCTTTTTCTTCACATAGGCTTTGCCAGTATTTGGCGATTGAGTTGGTGAAGAGTTACGCGACTATGATCGATTCTTGCTGTGCGACCTCTGCAATCGCCAACGATATCAGCATTTCACATGTTACCGCATCACCCTCTACCACCACTAGCTTTTTTCTTGCTATTGGTTTTATTGTTATATATTTATTGCTACTGTTAGATTCTTTGGAAACGAAAAGTTCTATTGAGAGATTTGGTTATGTTAAAGAGAACGAAGGGAGAATCTCTGGCATTGGGTTGGATAGGAGTAGTGAGTATGATGGAGGTCCAGCTCACGACCCACCGAACCAGCAGGTGACAGCTCACAACTAGAGGGGAACTTGCATCGGATAATGACATTTAGAGAGAATCATGTAGCGGATAATGGTGACAGCTCACGTATCCAACATGCATTGGATGATGGTGGCTATCGAACGGTGGACGTCAAAAGCATCCTGAAGAAGAATTCAAAGATGTTTAGAAGTCCGGTTCCTAGTTGTTTTAGTTGTTTTACAAGTTTAAATTTCCTAGTTATTCTACAAGTCTACCAATATGTATTATAAATAATTCTGTTATGAATTTAATAGAGATATACAAGAATTCCTTCGCCACTCTTTCTCTCTCTACTAAGTCTACGCTTAGTCTTTACGTGAGGCTTCACGACCGAAGTCGCTCGATCGTCTAGTGCTGGTATAATCCGCCCGGTCAAGTGCGTCACGCTGCATCAGGTGGTATCAAAGCGGGAGTTCGCCCAGTTAAATGGCCAATCAAGACGGTAGCAGTCGCAACCAACTCCGTAACGGAGATCAGGGATTACAAGTTGTTTGGAGAGTAATAGAAAAGCAGCGTACAACCAGTCGTAACATTGAGCAACAGTTGGCAGAGATCGCTGGACAACTACGAATTTTGTTACGAGAGGATGTTCCAAGGAATAGGGATAACGCATTGCACCAAGCCGGAGGAGACGACCACGGTAGACCAATCATCGATCCTATACCCAGGAACCCTATTCTTGATGATGATAGCGACGATGAGCTAGAATTCGGCGTTGCTCCAGTTATTCTTGGTGATGGCAGAACAGATAGGAATTGGCAAAATCCCGTCAATTTTAATCATTGTTGGAATAATGATGAATTTAAATCAAGGTGGATATTCCTACTTTTAGTGGAGATCTGGATATAGAGGGCCTTCTAGATTGGATCACCGAGGTCGACCGTTTCTTCGAGTACATGGATATCCCGAAAGAAAGAAGGGTGAAATTAGTAGCTTTTCGATTGATGAGAGGAGCATCTGTTTGGTGGGAACGAATGAGATAGACTCGGATCAGAGAAGGAAGAGGTCCACTTCGAACATGGAGGCGTATGAAGCAATTAATAAGAGGTAGGTTTTTACCTCCTGATTATGAGCAATATATGTTTGAGTCATATCAATGGTGTGCGCAAGGAACAAGAAGCGTGAACGAGTACACCTCCGAATTTCTGAGATTGGCTGAACGAAACCAGTTATCAGAAAGTGACAATCAACAGGCAGCCCATTATTTGAGTGGTTTGAAACCTTCTATCCAAGACAAGATTGGCGTCCAGATGGTTCTGAGCGTGCAAGAAGCAAGGAACTTAGTTCTAAAGGCTAAGTTAATGTTCCAAGAGAGAACCCGAGCTGATAACTATCGACGGTATAGTGGGAGCGACAACAGGTCGGCAATAGTCGACAAGGGCAAGCCAACCCAAGGAGTACAACCTTCCCACCTGCCGAGTGTAGCTAACGCCAGTAAGACCGCCACGGGCGGAAACACTTGAGGTAATACTTCAAACCCTCCTAAAGTCGTTAATCCCTATGCAAAACCTACTCCTTTTAAGTACTTCAAGTGCAATGAAGTTGGGCATAGGTCTAGTGACTGTCCCAGAAGAAAGGCAGTTAACATGGTGGAGAGAGATGAGGAAGAAGTTGGTGACGATGAAGTATATTGTGGACTGATGGAGAGGACGAAGAAGGTACCTATGATCATGAAGAGTACACATGCATTGTGAGGAAGCTAATGCTATCTCAAAGAAGCAAAGATACCACACAATGACACCGACTGTTTTGCACTAGGTGTACGGTACAGGATCAGTTATTCGAATTAATTATTGATAGCGGCTGTCAGGAAAATATTATCGGCAGGGATGTGGTACGAAAACTGCAACTAAATCCTAAGAAACACCCGAACCCTTACACGATTGGTTGGATCAAGGAAGTCGGGGGTGTACGCGTAGAGGAACACTGTAAGGTTCCATTCTCTATTGGTAAGTATACTGATGAGGTTTATTGTGATATTGTGGATATGGATGCTTGCCATATTTTGCTTGGTAGGCTTTGGCAGTTTGATGCAGATGCCAAACACCTGGGTAGAAAGAACACATACCAAGTCGAGAAAGAGGGTGTGCGCTATACACTATTACCCATGGCAGAAAAGAACCCAACCAAGGCTTCAAAGGCAGAAGAGAGGAATTTTCTTACCATAACACACTGCCACTCTGAATTTGTAAGAGAATGTAAGGATCCTCGCGAGGTCCACTTACTGGTGATAATGGGGGAAGGTGTGAGTGAATCACTAGGGGAGAACAAAATTCCCGTGGAAGTGCAGGGATTACTCGACGAGTTTCATGACGTAGTTCCTAACGAGTTACCTAATGAGCTCCCACCCATGTGAGACATCCAGCATCACATTGATTTTGTTCCTGGTGCTAGCCTACCTAATCTGCCACACTATAGAATGAGTCTTAAAGATAATGAGATGTTACGAGAGAAGGTAGAAGAACTATTGAGAAAGGGGCACATCCAAGTCAGCATGAGTCCATGCGCAGTATCGACATTATTAACACCGAAGAAAGATGGGAGTTGGAGGATGTGTGTCGATAGAAGAACAATCAACAAAATCACTATTGGCTACAAGTTTCTCATTCCTAGGATGGATGACATGTTTGATCAACTTGATGAGGCTGTGGTCTTTTCCAAGATTGATCTCAGGAGTGGTTATCATCAGATCAGAATCTGTTCCGGAGATGAATAGAAGATAGCTTTCAAGACCAGAGATGGATTGTTCGAATGTTAGTCATGCCTTTTGGACTAACTAACGCACCCAGCACCTTCATGAGACTGATGAATCAGGTACTAYGCCCTTTCATTGGTAAATTTGTTGTGGTATATTTTGATGATRTCTTGATTTACAACAAATTTGTCGATGAGCACATAGGACATATCCGAGAGGTATTGAGTGCATTAAGGGAGAACAAACTATATGCTAATCTAAAGAAGTGTACTTTTATGAGCGATAGTTTGTTGTTCTTGGGTTTCATAATAAGTAAGGACGGAATTAAGGTGGATGAGGAGAAATTGTGAGCCATTAGGGAGTGGCCAACCCCAACGAACGTCATAGACGTAAGGCGTTTTCATGGGTTAGCAACTTTCTATAGGCTGTTTATCAAACACTTTAGTAGTATTGTAGCTCCTATCACTGAGTGTCTGAAAAATGGTATGTTTCAATGGGGAGAGGAACAAGAGCAAAGTTTTGCTCTCATAAAAGAGAAGTTATGCACCGCTTCTGTCTTAGCACTGCCAAGCTTTGACAAATTATTTGATGTTGAGTGTGATGCTAGTGGAGTCGGCATAGGGGCTGTGTTATCACAAGAAAAGAGACTAGTTGCCTTCTTTAGTGAAAAGCTATGCGAAGCTAGGAAGAAATGATCCACTTATGATAAAGAATTTTATGCTATTGTAAGAGCATTAAAGACTTGGGAACACTATTTGATTGCTAAAGAATTTGTCCTCTACACCGACCATCAAGCTCTTAAGTATTTAAGTAAGCAAAAACAGTTGAGGAGTGATCTGCATGTAAGTGGTCTGCTTTTATTGATAAGTTCGCATACAAAATTGTGTATAAGGTTGGGCAATAGAACATAGTGGCCGATGCTTTGAGCAAGCGTGTGGCCCTCATCAAGACTCTTAGTATCGAAATTGTGGGCTTTGAATGTTTGAAGGATTTGTACGCCCAGGATGAAGACTTTAAGCCGGTTTGGGAAAAGTGCATGAATCGACAACCAACGGGTGATTTCCACGTACATGATGGAATTCTTATGAAGGGGGACCAACTATGCATTCCTTGCATCTCCCTTCGTGAGAAAATCATCAGGATTTGCATGGAGGCGGCTTAGCAGGACACCTCGGGAGGGACAGGACGATTGAGGCTGTCAAGGGGCGTTACTACTAGCCTAAATTGAGAAGAGATGTGACCAATATCGTGAGTAGGTGCTATATATGTCAGGCGACTAAGGAGCAGACCCCGAATACCGGCCTTTACATGCCTTAAACTGTTCCTACTGCGATTTGGGAGGACTTGTCTATGGATTTCGTGATAGGCTTACCGAAGACTCCAAGAAACATGGACTCTGTCTTTGTGGTTGTTGACCGGTTCTCCAAGATGACACATTTCCTCCCATGCAAGAAGACCGCAGATGCAACAGCGACAGCCAAACTATTCTTTAGGGAGATTGTTTGTTTATATGGGGTGCCTAAGACCATCACGTTGGATCGAGATACGAGGTTCTTAAGTCACTTCTGGATGACCTTGTGGAGGCTATTTGACTCATCATTGAATTTCAGCAGTACAGTTCATCTGCAGACTGATGGACAGACAAAAGTGGTAAATCGAACTCTGGGTAACCTGATCTGGAGCATTTGCAGAGAAAGGCCGAAGCAGTGGCTCTTTGCCATAGTGCAAGCAAATTTTGCCTACAACAACGTAGTTCATAGCTCTACAGGTAGATCCCCATTTTCTATTGTGTATATGAAAGTACCTAACCATGCGTTGGATTTGGTGAAGCTACCTAGGGTACCAGGCCTTAGTACTTCAGCAGAGTAGTTAGCCGAACAGATCCAGTCAGTACAGGAGGAAGTACAACATAAACTTCAAACGACCAATGCAAAGTATAAGCTTGTAGCTGACAGGCATCGCAGGTACCAAGTGTTTGACGTTGGTGATGAAGTCATGGTGTTCGTAAGGAAAGAGCGCATACCTGTTGGGAAACATAGCAAGCTACAGCCTCGGAAGTACGACGTTGGTGATGACAGGCATCAATGACAATGCTTACGTAGTGGATTTGCCAAATCACATGGGTATTTCCAAAACATTTAATGTCGCTAATCTCCATCGTTATTTACCGGAAGTGACACTTGCATATCCCGATCATGACTCGAGGTCGAGTTCCTTCCAAGCGGGGGAGAATGATGGAGGTCCAGCTCACGACCCACCAAACCAGCAGGTGACAACTCACAACTAGAGGGGAACATGCATCGGATAATGACATCTAGAGAGAATCATGCAGCGGATAATGGCGACAACTCACGTATCCAACATGCATTGGATGATGGTGGCTATTGGACGGTGGACATCAAAAGCATCCTGAAGAGAATTCAAAGAAGTTTAGAAGTCCCGTTCCTAGTTTTACATGTTTAAATTTTCTAGTTATTCTACAAGTCTACCGGTATGTATTATAAATAATTCTGTTCTGAGTTTAATAGAGATATACAAGAATTCCTTCGCCACTCTTTCTCTCTCTACTAAGTCTATGCTTAGTCTTTACGTGCGGTTTCACGAACGAAGTCGCTCGATCGTCCGGTGCTGGTATAATCCGCCCGGTCAAGTGTGTCACGCTGCGTTAGAGTAGCTTCACTGATCTGTTAGTAGCTGCTTCTAAACCTTTCTGGAGAGCTTTTATTTCAGCCCCATAAGCTGATGTTGCCCAGAACTGTTTTCCTTCTGCCAGAATTTTCCTTGATTCAAGTTGGAGGATGAATGCTCCTCCTGCATTACCTGTTATAGGATCATAAGAGCCATCAATGTATAATGTGCACAAGGTAGCATGATTTGTTTTTTGGTTTGTGATTACATTTCGATTTGGTTGGCTGAACTGGGAAGTGAGGTAGAACTCTCCTTTATTTGCAGTCATTTTTGGGGAAATAAGATCTCTTTCAAATAGCAGTTTATTTCTTGCTTTCCATGTCAGGTAAAGCAAAGTGCAGCCTTTCCCCAAAAGATAATACATAATTTCTTTTCTATTGATAGCTCATATTGAGTTGATCCAGCCCTTGAAGATATGGTGGAGAGGGGGTCTGTTTTTTATTTTTTCTGGATTAATACCCACCTGTGCATGACACCATACTGCACGAGCGTATGGACATGTGAAGAATAAGTGATGAACTGTTTCTTGTTCTTCACTGCAGTATCTACATAGTTGCTCCTCCTTTTTATCCAGCCCATGCATTTGTCTTTCGTGAGAATTCCATCCCAAAGCAGCTTCCATATGAAAATTTGGAATCTGAACGGAATTCTTGTTTTCCACAAAAGTTTCCAATCAAAATGTGGTGAAACGTTGAAGATTTCTTGCTGTTCAAAAAATGATATACCAAGGATACTTCTAAAGTCCCTTTTTTTGAACCCTTCCATATTAGTTCATCTGATTCAAGCTCTAGATTCGGTTGAATCTCTAGGATGCTCTGGATGTTATTAGGGTGAATTAAATTTTGAAGAGATTGATTGTTCCAAGAACCATCAACATTTAGAAGATCTTTTACTCTTAATTTCTGAGCAAATGAGGAACCTTTGGTAGGGAAGGGATCTAAGGGTCCTGAAAAGTATTGATTTTATACCCATCTCTTATTATCCAAAGATAATTGGACTTGAGTTTTTTTAACAAACCATGGGCTTTTTTCCATCATTAGGAACTTTTCTGTCTTTTTGGTGCTTCAAAAATACTCTCATCCTTGTATTTGTTTCTAAATACTTGGCTCCAAAGAGTATTTATGGTGAGAAGTCACCAAATTTGTTTACTAAACATTGCCTGATTCATTTGAAATCTGTGTCACAGTCCCAAGCCTCCCGCTGACTTTGAAAGGCACATTTTCCCAGGAAATGGTACGTTTAGACCATCCTTTGTAATTACACCACCAGTAGTCTCTTAACTGTTTGTCAAGTGCTGTAAGTATTTTGGATTGAAATATGGTGGTTAGCATTGGGTACACAGGAAATGCTTGTACCACTAATTTTACTAGATAACAGCTTAGAATTCCATGAGTCAATTTTGGCTTTTATCTTCTCAAGAAGATCTTTATAAGTGGCACAACTTTTGTGTTTTATCCCCAAGTATTTAGACCCTCCCATTTGCTTCTTTATATGTAGTAACTTGGCAAAGAACTTTTGGTGGTGTCTTGGAACGTTCTTACTGAACATGATAGATGACTTGATGAAATTGAATTTTTGACCAGAAAAAACTTCAAATTCTTTTAAGATTCTTTTGAGAATGTGAACTTGACTGATCTCCACCTGACAGAACAAGATAATGTCATTGGCAAAACGTAAATGATGAATTTCTGGCCCATCCCTTGTTAGTGTCACCCCATGAATGCTCCCCTCAGATGAAGCTCTGTTCAAAAGTTATGTGAGGACTTTCATTCCTAAAATGAATTGGTAAGTTCCAGGCCTCTGAGAAAACTTCTTTATATTTTGGATGTTTAGTCCAGAAAGGAAGGAAATGAAACTGAGATTTGAGGCGCATGGGTTGCGGGTAGTGTCTAACTTAATGGGTCCATGATTTGAGTTAATAATATGCATATTGTACAGAACAGAATTTGGGAATATGTATGACCATTTATCTG